CCCTTCCTCTTCGTGAACAACAAGCTGATCATCCATGGCGCCAAAGAAACGTCTAAACCTGAACCCAGTAGCTTGAGCCTTGAGCCGTAGCCAGAAGCCTTAAAGCCCCAAACCTCTTATAGCGCCTGATTTAGAGTACCCTTAAAGGAGCCCTACTAAACCCTAAACCCTTACCGGAACCCCAAAGAGAAGTATCCGGAATCCGGGATCCTTGAGTGGCCGGACCGAGCGAGGTTCAGTGGACTTGTTCTGCCACTTGCCTATCCTTGGCGGTTTTGGAGTCTTGACACTCACGCTCGGAAGGGTTTAGCACTCAGCGTTCAGGGCTAAGGGTTTTGGGGTTTAGGGCCTAGGGTTTCTATCCTTGGACGTTTTGGGGCTGCTGAAGCATTAGAGGTTTAGGGTTTTGGGCTTTTCTTTCCCTTTAGCATTGCAGAGATCAAAGCTCATTGCGAGGGTTAGGGGTTCGGGGGTTTAGGGTTGAAGGTGTTGTTGGATGTTCATGGGGTTTCTGCACTCACGGTTTACCGTTCGGGCTCTATCGATTCGGGAGCTCAAAGGTTTGGGGTTCGACGGTTTGGGCTCAGGTCGGGTGTCGGCTAAGGGTTTAGAGTAAGGGCACCCTACAGTCCTTTTTTCACAAGGGGCTCGACTGCTGCCCTTACTTCCCATGCCTCGCAACATTGAGCCAGGCATCTAGAACCACTATCAACACAAAAACATGCAGGTGAACTCTTGAGTTTCTCAGCAGAGACTGACAGGGACCCTACACTCCTAAACCCTGAAACCTTTCCCCCGAAAACCCTTAGAGAGACAGAGCCCTGAAACCAAGGGCACTTCAGGGCAGTATAAGGGCACTGCCTAAAGGTTCCATATGGGGTTGCTATAGACGGCCCCAAGCAAACAATAAAAGCGGGAGGCGGGAGGCTTCACTTGAGCCCTCACAAGTAGCCCCCGTCGTGACCCTTCTAGCAACTTTACCCTTAGAATCACCCTGATGGTAACCCTGTAGTAACCCTGATGGTAACCCTTCAAGCAACCCTTATAAAACCCTAAACCCTCTTTTTGCATCCAGCCTGCAAGAGCACCCTAAACCCTAAACCCTAAACCCCTTAATTAACCCTAAAAACCCTAAACCCTATATATGAACACAAAAGCCGAGAGGCGGGAGGTTGTAGGACACCTTTGAGCTCAAATCGGCGGACAAGGCGGTGGCCGCTCCCCGGGCAACCAGCTGTCCCTGCCTGGGTTTTTAAAGGTTTCGTGGGGTTTAGGGTTTAGGGGTCTCTCACTCTCGCACAAGGCAGGCAAGGCTCATTTTTCGTCAGGTTTTAGGGTTTTTTCTTTGGAGCGCCTCTTGTCCAGGATTGCAGATGCAGCTGAAAATCACCACTGCAGTTCTGAGGGCTCAACTTGCTCTGAGGGTTGAGCGTTCGGGGCTTCAGGGGTTTAGGGTTTCGGCCTTGTCTTGCCCTTTGTGGAACCTGAAAGGAAAAGTGCACTACGTGCCCGGCACGCTTCGGGTGGATTCTAGGCCTCCAGGTTTAGTCTAGTGCTCGCCTCTATAATTGAAGCTCTTTCACGCTCTCCGGGCGTTTGGCGTTCAATTTCTAAGAAGCTTTTCGGGTTAGTTGGCATGTTTCCTCTAGGGTTTAGGGCTCTGCAAGGATTGACACATATTGACACGCTTCCCCGAACCGGAAGAAATAAGCTCTACCCACAACTAACTTCTAAGGAACCCAAAAACCCTCAAAATAGCCCCGGTAAATCATGGTCCAGATGCTTGGTGATGACCGTAGGCTCGTAAGCTGCGGAGGTAGTTCCAATGGGCTGCATAAACTCGCCGGCCTGCTCTCATATTAAGCACTGCTCATTCGTAACACTATCATAACTCTCATGATGATGGTGATGATTTTTATATGTTTTTAGTGTTATGACCTAAAATCATCTGCTCTGTCTATGGACCTTGTTGGAGGTACAGAGTGTCTGTTTGCCTGCCCTGTTGCTAGGAAGGAACATGGGGTGGGGGGGTTTACAATTTAAGCGGTTGCTTAGGGCTTCTAGGGCTTGTGCGATTTAGGGCTTGCGGCTTCAGGCTTCGCCAGAATCCAACTGTGGAGAACACCACGAATTGTGAAGATTTCACGACGGTGAACCCGTCTCTCTCTCTCTCTCTCTCTCTCTCTATATGTGTGTGTATGTGTATAAACACATGTGGTTAGTGATGTACCTCTGCATGTAATGCATGAATACACACGCATACGTACATGCATGCATGCATGCATACGTACACAACGTACATGCATACATGCATCCATACGTTAATACGTACATACATACATACATACATACATACATACATACATACGACATACATGCATACATACATACATACATACATACATACATAAATGCGCACATGCAAACAAGCATACCTGCATGCATGCAGGCAGGCCTACATACTTACATGCAGACATGCGCACATGCATACAGACATGCATACATACATACATACATACATACATACATACATACTGCATGTGTATGTATGTATATGTACGTGTATGTAGGTATGTATGCATAGATGTAACATGCATATGCATACTAGTATGCATGTACAGCACTGGCCACATTTAAGAACCGAATAAGAGCCAGGGCCTTGGCAGGGCTCCTACATCACACGCTGAAGGCCCTCAGTCTAGCCAACTGGACCCTAAATACGAGCCCGACCCCGTAAAGCTCTAAGCATAAAATTATAGGGGAAAAAATATTTTTTCCCCTATAATATGTTTAGTATAAGCTCTAAGCATTAGAATCAGAAACTAAACCCCTGAGCCCTAAACCGCAAATCTTCTGCAGGGCCCGCCTTTACAAGGTCGCTTCCGTACGCCTGTTGCAGAAAAAGGCCCTACAAGGATCCTACTCTAATTCTCTAGGCCAGGCCTCATTACTAAACTGCCGTTTCTGCCTTTTTATGTCACCGGGTTTAGGGTTTAGGGTTTAGGGTTACTAAACTGCCGTTTCTGCCTTTTTTATGTCATGGCTCCCGGCCTGGAGGCGGAACGAGACAAGAGTCTCCGCGGCCGACACGCCTGAGTGGTCTTCAGACAGGGGGATGTCCTGGCTTTGATGGGGAACCACATACAGTAGAAGCCCAAAAGTTGGAACCCAATAGCCTCAATCCTTAAGAGTAATGTATAGGGAATCGCAGCACTATCTGTCCTTAATCCGGTTTTCAACTTTTTGGGGTTTACTATAGGGTCCCGTAAAGAGTTTCGTTGGCTTTGGGGAGGGCTACTATAAGAGTCCTTTACAGGTTCAGGGGCGAAAGGCTGCGGAAGAGGCGGTCGGGATCCGGGTAGGGCTGCTGCTGGCAAGGACCTGACTCTGTTGGCTTCCAAGAAGGCTTCTGTCATTTTCTGAAACACACTCGAAGATTCGGGGTTTCAGGACTCACAACTGGGACAAGTCTGAAAAACTTGGTACACCTCGTAGTTCAGGGTGCAGGGCTGGCTGGGGTTCAGGCTTTGATGGTGTTGTGTTCAGGAGAGGCAGGTGTTGTGAAGTACATCTTTTCGAGGGTCCGGTGAGGATCTTGAACAGGACCGTACGAAACCTTCTAGAACCTGTTCTTTACCCTAAACCCTAAACCCTAAAAATCCCTAAACCCTCAACGGAACCCACGAAACCTTATAGACTCCACCTAAACTCTAAAAATCCCCCAAGCCTCCAGCCTGACCTTGACATGATACGGTCGTTGCATCAACGACTGTAGCGGATACGATACATTCCTAATTATTTAGCACCTGTGGTGTATCGCTGTATAATTTGGGCTTTACTAAAAAGGGCCAAGCTTTCTGGTTATAACTAGAATAAACCTTACAGTAACCCTTTGAAGGAATCGCTTAAGGAGCGCTAATAGTTCCATCATAGCCAGAGTATGTTAATCCCCCTTTGCTGGGGTCCCAGATACTACATACAGGCGGCTTTTCTACTGCCACTGCTACTGCAACTACTTCTACTTCTACTTCTACTTCTACTTCTACTACGTCTACTTCTACTACTACTACTACTACTACTACTACTACGCCGATGACGACTACTACTGATAATCGTGCTTATAATGGTAATGACAAGACAAGAACAAGAATAGTCATGCTATTGGTGATGATGATGATGCAAACACGGTACTTCATAACAATACTACTCCTGACCTTGCTTTTACCCCCCCCCCCCTATGCTTGCAAGCCCCTAAGGTGGTGAAAAGCTGCTGGAAGCCAGCGCGAAGAAGGCAGTGAAGCGCCAAGCCGCAAGGGCCCCCATGGCTCCAGCGCTGTGGCCGACCGGGTTCAGGCGTTTAAATTTAAAAGTTTAGGTGCGTGAAAGCTTTGGCCTTTAGAGTTTATAAGTGGTCCTTCCGATCTAGGGTACAGATGGGTAAAGACAGTTTACAGCAGGATTTAAAGTTTGAGGTTGGGGTTCGTGGGTTTGCCATTGGAGGGCCTTTTAGGATTTCATGTAAAGTTTACAATGCTAGATGGGGTAACAAACAAGCTTTTGTATATAACGGGGTTCAGAGTTCCTGATTTTCGGGGCATGCAGGTTTGAGGAGTTGAAGGGCTTTCGTGTGGCCTTTTACTTCCAGTAATCCAGGGCTAAGGTTTGTGTAGCTTAATAAAGGTTTTGAGGGTTTTAGAGTGTTAAGTTGAGGCTTTGGGCTTTTTGGATTCTAGGGATGGCACTTGGCTTTTGAGTTTCCTGCGCTCATCTTGGCTAACCTGCCTTAGGACCGAAGTCTCTGTCCTTAACGACTCAAGAAGCAGTGTTTGGAGGGGATGCGGGTGTGCATGCCGCGGCTTTAGTACAGTTTCTTGCATATTCACACGAAGCAAAAAGCAACCGTAAAGGAATAGTACACATGGGATAGCATTGCTACACATCCAGGCTTGTGTAGTAGGCCTTGGGGCTTTGGGCTTCCTGGGCCTTGGAGTTGGCCTATGATGCCTGTTTTTGTCATGATAAGTTAAAACTCGCTTTGTTTTGGCTTGAGGATTTAGGGTTTGGAGTGATCTCCTCTTTCTGTCGACAGAAGTGGATGCAATCAGAAGTGGATGCAGTCAACCCCAGGGTGGGCCAGGGAGTCCGAATCCTTGCAGGCTGCTGGGATGTAGGGTTTTATGAGGTGGTGGAGGTTTTAACCTAGCCCTAAGCCTTAAGTGCTGGTGGGCGTTAATATCTTCATGGTCTTGGCCTTTTCCGCCACCATGTTGGACATAGCCAGTGCCCAGGTGGTGTCCTCCAGCAGCGCTGCTTGAAACTTGAAACCCTTTAGGCCTTCAGGTTGGTGATTGAAGGTTTTTTGTTTAGGGTTTCGGTTTAAGGCCTTCAGGCTGGTGATTTGGGGTTTAGGGTTTCAGGCCTTCAGGTTGGTGATTTAGGGTTCGAAGGTATCATGTCGGAAGATGATTCAGAAACCCTTAATCCCTTCTTAGGGCTCTTCATGGTGATCCTACCATGCCGGGACTACAGGACTTGGGTTTCTGAATCAGGCTCCTACCTGAGGACGTCACGCTTGGAGGGCTCCGGGTCGCTCAATGTATGGGCCTTGATCATTTCAACTGGGCTTTGGGCTAGTGTAATTATGATGAGGAACCCTAAGGAATAATACAAGCAGAGGAACATGAAGGAATAATACAAGTAGTATGATCATGATAAGGAGCCCTAAAGAATAATAATACAAGTAGTAGAAATTATGATAAGGAACCCTAAGGAATAATGCAAGCAACTATTGAGGCTTCTGTAATTACGGTGCAGAGTGCGATGGGCTTCTGCTCACGAGCTCAAGGTTTCCACAGCTTCAAAGGCCCAGTGCGCCGGGAGCTGCGGGCTATGAGAGTTTAGGGGTTAGAATTTAGGGTTCTAGAGTTTAGGGCTTAGGGGTTTAGGGTTTAGGATTTGGGGTTTTGGGGTTTGGGGTCTAGGGTTTGGTTTAAGGGGATTCTGGAGTTGAAGCCTCGACACAGTCGGAGCCTGACGGGAAAGCAGCGGACGCGACCAGAACAGCAAGAGATGAGCTTCGATAAGCCCTAAACCCTAAACCCTAAACCCTAAACCCTAAACCCCTAAACCCTAAACCCTGAACCTAAAGCCCTGCCTTCTGCTTGGGAACGTTCCCACAAGCCCTGCCAACCCTAGAACCCTAGAACCTTTTTTTTGAGCAGGGACTGCAATGCACTAAGCCCTGAATCCCTTCAGCCAAGCTCCAGACTCCAGCGCTTATGGCTGAGCTAGAACCCTAAACCTTAAACCCCTAAACCCTAAACGTCCTAAACCCTAGACCCTAAACCCCTAAACACCTAAGCACCTAAACCCCAAGGACCTAACGCACAAACGCGACGTGGCGCAAGGCAGCTCCTTCTCAGTCGCAAGCTGCTGCCTCTCCGGGGGGTCTCGTGGAGAAACTACGAAAACCCTGCTGGGTTTAGGGTTTAGGGGTTTAGGGGTTAGGGGTTTCAGCACTCACTCACTACGAAAACCCTGCTGGGTTTAGGGTTTAGGGGTTTAGGGGTTAGGGGTTTCAGCACTCACTCTTGGACATTCCTAGGCGAGGGGTTAGGGGTTTAGGGTTTAGGGTTCTATAGTGGAGCTTATACCATAAGAACCTACATCCAGGGATTTTGTGGTACTTTCAAGTTCGGGTTCATTGAGACGGGCGTGGGGTTCACGGTGTAGCGCTTCTGAGCTTCTGGTGGGGGCCGAGACAGTGTCCGCACAGCAAGCTTTAGGGTTTCGGGTTGAGCGCTTGGCTACAAATACTGACCCTAGAGAGCTTCAAGGCTGACCCTAGAGAGCTTCAAGGCTGAGGTGACCCTAGAGAGCTTCAAGGTGTATGGTTTGAGATTTGGCGTTTAAAGCGAGTGTTGAGCGTCGTGTTCCGCATGCGAAGCGTCTGAACGCGCAGCTTAGCGAATTGAGAAACGGGGAAACTCAGGATCGAGGGGTCCAAACCTAAACCCTAAACCCTAAACCCTAAACCCTAAACCCTAAACCAATCTTCAACCACCTGACCGAGGACGAAGCCCCAAGCCCCTGAACACAGAGTAATTTAACAAGGACGCATTCGAGTTTAGGGTTTTGGGGTTTAGGGTTTGGGGTTTTGGGTTTGGGGTTTTGGGTTTAGGGTTTAGGGGTTTAGGGTTTAGGGTTTTGAGTTTAGGGTTTAGGGTTATGCAACCTTGCCAAGGGCTAAAGTTGAACAACATCCTCCAGCTCTCCTGCAAGAACACACATCCCTATACCCTGACCTCTAGCCCCCGTGCATTAGGCTGTGCTTGACCCAAGCCTTGCCTGCACAGTAACCCAGCAGACCTACACCTCTGGGGTTCTTCTATGCGTAAAATATCTAAACCCTAAACCCTTCCTTGAACGAGGTCTCTCTGAAGTGCTTGAAGAACCCTAAACCCCTAAACCCTTTTGAACGAGGTCTCTCTAACCCCTAAACCCTGAACCCTAAACCCCTAAATCCTAAATGCTGATCTAAACCCTACTATAGGCCCACGTGCCTGATGGGCTACAGGTAGAGCGTATACTATTGAACTCCCCTAAAGCTCTCTTTGCTTGGAAGCCCACAGCCTCAGTCCTGCACCTTGAAGCGACCCCCACTCACTCCCCACTAAGAACGGCTTTTTGCACTCACACTTTAGGGTTTAGGGTTTAAAACTATTTGAAACTTTTTGGAACCCTGATAGAGCCCACACCAAGCCCTTGCTTATGATTCCTCTCTTCAATGACAGGGCGCAGGTGTTCATCGTGCTGCCGGTCTTTCTCGTGGATCTCCGCCTTGTGAGCTCCAGGTTTTGTGGCCCATTCGTGTCGGGTTGGGTAGGATTTTAGGGTTAGTTTACTTTGAATTTATGGTTTAGGGTTGAGGGTTATTTAGGGTTGCAGGTTTTTGGTAGGCTCTTCAGGTTAATTTATGGTGCAGGGTTGGGTGTAGAGGATTCAGGGTTTAGGCTGTATAAGGCGGAGTCTCTACAGTCTGGCGCTAGGTCTCTGGGATTTGATCTGCGGGGGCCGCTACAAGGGCACCCTTGCAACTCACCGAAAAACTGTCACTATGTACCAAACCCCAGAATGTGCCATCATGCAGAACAATGCTCTCCCATCATAAGCACACGCAAACCCAAAGCCATAGACCTTAATTTCCAACCACGCAGCCTCTCGTTTCCTCTCCAGCTCGTGCGTGGTTTCCTCAAAGAGCCTGTCCTTGGCCGTGGTGACCGCATCCAACTCCGACTGGTGGATTCTGTCCTGGGCACATGATTCAGCAAGTAATTAACGCCTTAAAACTTAAGGTGGGGGGGCTTCATCTAAATCCCTTTGCACCTGGGCTATGACGGGCTATGCATATGCCAGGAACCGAGGCGCCGACCGTGCTAAACCCTAAACCAGGGTTGAGACTGCTTGGGCAAGGGCTTCGGGATTCTCTTAATCCAGAGGTTTTAATAAGAGTAATAGGGTTTTAGGGTATACTATACAAACAACTATAACAAGGATCCCAAAAAAGGTATAGGCAAAGGTAATTATTAATTAAGGCCCCGACATTGATTGCGACGATAAATTCGACGCCCTCAACGCGTGGCAACCCTAAAGCACCCAAATGGATCCTTGAGATGATGAGTTACCCAGACCCCGGAGAGGATCCACAAAGTAGATCCCTTAAAGCCCTGAAAAGGGGCTCCTATAGGGTATCCTTTCCTCGTAAGGGGGTCTACTTTCTAGATGCTCCCGGGTCTGGGCAGGGGAATTAAAAATGCCAAACATGGCAGGCACAAGTACATCCTAGGTAACCCGCAAAATTAACCCCCTATTGAAACCTCAAAAGCCCGATGCAAACCCTCATTTTGAGGTAGTTCTCTAAAGTAGGGTCTCGTTTTAGGTCGTCAAATAGTAAGGCGCCCTTCTGACTAGGACCCTAAAAAAGGACCCTAATTTAGAGGGCTTCCCAAATCCAGATTACAAAACCAGATGCCGGAGGCCCCAATGTCATGCCCGGGGTTTGAATATAGGCGCCTCAATGATGAGAATAGGGTTTTGGGGTCCATTGTTTTAGAAATACAATATAGGAAGGGTGGTATTGGTAATGATTCTAAGCCCGTAAAGTAGGAGCTCCTGCGGGCTCTTAGACGGGCTTCTATACCCCTAAACCCTAAACCCTATACGGCTTTGAAAGGTTTGCACCGGGTTTTGCTACACGGGCCTTACCGTAGAAACCTCCACCCCTCAAAGAAAAACCTCGTTTTTGCTGCAGGCCTGCAAACAAG